TTAATGCATATTTAATAGAAAACTTTAAATTACTGAACTAACAGGAATACTTTCTCTTGAAAAAAATTCAAAGAACAATATAATAAATTGTTTTGCATAAATTAAGAGAGCATTATTGGAGAAAGTTACAATGAGTAAGTATAGCTACACATTAATAGGCTCAATAATGTAGCATTCTTTTCAATTTTATTTCATGGTAAGTTGCTTACCACCATAGCATGCAATCCTTTTATTTTTATTATATTTGTGCAATATTTGTACAATATTCGCATGATTGTTAACGAAGTTATCGATATTATAACAAACTAATTGATATATTTTTGTACAATATAAGTTGCTTAATACTGATATTAAAATGGTTTTCTTTGTGTGCTACTAAAGCGTGTAAAAATATTTAAAAAGACACCTTTACAAAATTTTACTCTGAATTACTTTTATCCATATATCAGCATTAATCAATCCACCTTCATAATCGATTGATTTGCGTAATTAATCGTTATTATAATGTCCAAATAATTATAGGTAGCAATCAGAAATAATGTTTTACAATTTTCGCTTATGGGATTTGTAATTTTATTACAGGCAGATGAGGATCCACCACATGCCTTCTCACAAATCTTTGTACTGAAGCCACTGGGGAACTCATTCTTCTGTCAACACGACATCTTTCGCCTTGGCATTCACGACACTGCATGAAGAAAAATGTGTGCAGATTTATGATTAATGGCAGACAGTTATCTGAGCCATGGAATCTCCAGAAATTGGAATAAGTGAGCTACTTTATCATTAATATCCTTTGTCATCACATATTATTCATTCTTTCTAGATATTACAGTTTTTATATAAAAGAATATTCATTTATATTTTGGCCACAGAAAGAAAGAAACGAAGCTTTAAAAATAGACACAGTTTAACAATTGCTTTGCTTTTCCGAGTTTCGTAATTCACAGATATGCCTATTGTTGATATTACATTTTTAAAATACTATATCATGATACAATGGAATATGATATATTATATAATGTTTGATTTTAATGGTCGATTATTACGCTTCAAATTGTAATGTTACATATTTTACACCGCCATGCTGTGTGTATTTTTGTAAACAGATATTGGCCATTAAATACAACATCTGGAATTAATGTACTGTTAGTCTCCATTCTCCAATGTGCAACATTAAAAGATTATAACATAAACGTAAGAGTAACGAACATTGTTTCTTTATTATGTTTATAATAAAACTTTATTATACAAATCTTTCAAGTGCAAAATACCTGTACATATTTATATTTAGTCACAATGAGGATTTTACAAGTTGCCGCGTTTAGCTTGCTCCATTTCTATAGCTTCGAATAAAGCTTGAAAGTTTCCAGCTCCAAATCCCTATAGTATGGACAAAGTAAACAAAGTATTTTATATTCATAAATAGAAACGATTTATGTAAATGTTGTTTTACATAGTTACTCGGTTCGTAAGAATTTTAATTACTACGATACTTACATTATGGTTACGTCTTTGAATGACTTCTATGAAAAGTGTTGGTCTGTCTTGCATATTTTTAGTGAATATTTGCAGAAGATATCCATCCTCGTCGTAATCAATTAAAATTTTTAGTTTCTAACATAATATTTAAGTATTAACTAAGTTTCATTAAATATAACTTATGTAGAATTATTTGTTTTTATACCTGAAGTGTGTTAAGATCTTCTAAAATTTTTACTCCACTATTTTTTAAACGATTTCTTAGCATGTCATAGTAAGAGTCTGGCACATTTAGAAATTCCATACCTCGAGCTTGCAAATTTTGTATCTGGAATACAATGAAAGCATATAAGATAAAACATTGATCTTCTCAAGAAAAGATCACCGTAGTTATATTCACTTACAGCTTTAATTATGTTATCTGTGTTTAGAGCAATGTGTTGTACACCTGCTCCCCCATAATACTCCACATATTCCTGTATTTGAGAACGTTTCTTGCCAGTAGCCGGTTCATTAATAGGCATTTTTACAGTTTCTTCCCAATTAGTCATAACAATAGAACGTAGAGCAGAGTATTCTGTATGTAGCTGACTATCATCTACTGACCAGAATCTATGAAACTGTAAACATTCCTCATACCTAAAATAAATCAAAATTTGTACAAACAGAATTTGTTATTATTATTTTCTTTCGAAAACGTTTGATTTTTACCATTTTGCAACAGGTTCCATTTGTTTGTCAGGTTGATTGCCAACGATATGATCCACGAAATTTAGTCCAACTTTTGGCCTAAACAAATAGATTGTTATAGAATTCAGCACAGTGCATTAAATACAATTTTTTATATGACATGTAGTCGCATATGACTTACAAATTTTTTATAGATTTATCTTCCGGTAGTTGTTGAAATCCTGGCAAGAAGAATCCTTTATACTTTGATCTGTCTATGAGCGTATGATGTGTGTCCCCATACTAAAAGACAATGCTTATTAAAATATTGCTTTTATTTAATCTTTCCTATTTTTTTTATGAAACCTAACTGACTTACAGTTTGTATAGTAGCAAATTTCACAACACCATATTCATCTTTTTCTTCCCATATGTTTTTTATGATTTTCGCTCCTCTTTCCTTGGCAATCTATAAAATTTAAAGTTTCATATTTGCTTCAGCAATATTAATTGCTCATGTCGATTGTACGTACCTTTACAATGGTATAAATGTCTTCGACATTAAATGCAATATCACGAACTCCATCACCATGTCGTAAAACGTGACGTCCTATTTCATCATTATCAGGTTTATATGGTGATTCAAATACAAAGATAATCTGCAAGTAAGATCAAAATATCAGTCAAATATTCCTGATCAGTATTCAATCAATTCATTATATTATGTTGTAAGTGTAAGACAAAGTATGAAGTGGAAATTAATGAATATACCATGCACCTTATTTTGTTTAACAACATGGGATGCTATTTCTCTTGTACCAGTTTCCAAACCACGGTAACCCAAGGGTTCAAAGCCCATTCTAGAGCAATAATAACCAGCTGCCTGTAGCAATAAATAGAATCCATTGAATTATATATGTATATATGCTTTTTTAACATCAGAATCATTCTAATTACCTGCTTCGCATTTCCAACCCAAAACGTTACATGATCAAAAGACAAAAACTTTCCTCCCAAAGGCTAAAATTAAAAAATTTAATTAACAATACAGTTTTATACAATTTTATATATTTTGTTTAAGTAATTTCACCCACCTTTGGGCCTTTATCTGTGTATGTAGTCTGTCAGAAATTGAAAATTGGAAATTAATAAATATTTAAATTCTTACGAGGTGGGAATAAATCTAAGTTATATATTTATAATTTATGCAATATTCTTACCATTTTTACACACGGAAAAAGTCGATATTGATTCTCTTGCCAATTGCTATGAAATCATTCTAATCGCAGGTCTACGTTGCTTAAATATCCCGGCGTCGAAATCGGTGATCGGTATCCTTAACGATGATTGGTCGATCGAGGAGGCTTGTTTACGTCGCATTCTTCTAGAAATGCAAATGGTAAATCACCTACAGCGATCAGGTTTTGCAAAATCGTTACACGAGCTGATCACGACCTGATATCCTGACGTAGCCTCGTGTCTGAAATGATCACGCTCAATGTTACTGATTCAAATTAAAAATCGCTACCTTAATTACACTCCCTAGGAAATAATAAATAAAATACAAGGGTGCAGAGTTCATTGTCAATTGATCAAATAGATATTGGGATCTTTTTCATAATTTGTAACTATTTATTTATTACTCTCTTTGTTCTACGTTATAGATCTCATTGATATTTGCGTCGCATTATATTATTATTATTTTAGCTATTATTTTAGCTTCACTATTGTTTAAAGTTTGAAAAAATGAATGATTCAAAACGATTCAATTAGGGTAAAATTTTCCATTCAAGGAGGCTCGTCGTTCCAAATGATGAAAGCCGATTGGTCATGCGTCAGCGCGCGCTTCGATTCCAGTTTGAAGGTGTGCTTTATATTATTAATTAACATAAAAAGAAACTGAGAACGCGTAAACATGTTTAGAAACAGGTAAAACCAGGGGGCTCGGCTCGATTTATTTTCTTCGTCATCGAGGCCATAGAGAGATAACAAACTCAATGATTTCAAGATACACAATATTCAAAAGTATTTGGAATAAACTGATACGCAACACTTGCTTGAAAAAAAATGAAAATATGTGATGTTTAAACAATTCTTTTTATTTTATGTAATGGCGGTAATTTAACAAAAAATTAGGACACGGTAGAAATCTTACAATAAAGTAACAAAGTCAAGTATAATATTCTACAGTATCCATCGTATTCGATATAAAAGATATTAACATTAAATTTGTGTTATCAACACAGAATAAATTTTAATATGTTAGTTTGAAATTGTCAATATTCAAAATATTGAAAAAAACACAGTTTTGTTTTTAGATTAACAAATGTTCGTTTTTAGATTGTCACTAAAAAATAAAAACGTCGAATGTTCGTTTATGGCAATTTGCATACAGGTGACTAGAATAAATTGTCAGAAACTGACA